ACAGGGTCCTCCGGGTCGAGGGCATCTCCGGCCGTCATCTCGCAGCCTCGAAACATCCATCCAAAATGCGACAAGGAACCCTCGGGATCTCCGCAACTTTGAGGGCCTTGTCATCGGACAACTCGTGCTAGTACTGCCAGGAGCTACTAGCAGCTTCTTGTTGCTAGTAGCGATGCCCTTTACTCCTAGTAGCGTCCGCTGCTCCTAGTAGCGATGCCAGGAGCCCCTAGTAGCGTCCTTTAGTGCTCCTTAGCAGGGTACCACAAGCTGATCACGTCCTCCTTTGCTGCACTTGCAGCTTGGGGCCAGGTTTGAATACCGTCGCTGATGAACAGCACCGTCTTCTGAGATGTCTCTCTGTTAAACTTCTGCCTGGGGTCAGATAAATCTGCCTTCCACTCCATCGCCCAACCCCTGTACATACGCTCTTGGTTGATCTGGTCCAAGACTTCCGTCTTGGTTTGCCTTAAGACTGCTTCCATGTGTGTCTTTTCTGATTCCGTCAGATCCCCGTCTGTGAGGCCATTGGGTTCAGGCTCCTTCACAGCAGATGCACCGGATCCCATTTTGGACCAAGGACAATCGAGTGACAGCTCCTTCACAGCTGAAATGGCTTGAGCAATCAAATCAAGAGACAAAACTCCGTCCCCTTGTGCATACTCGCTGTGATTCTTCATCATCTTGGAGAATGAGTGCAAACGATGCTGGCATACAATGTTGTTGCAATCTGCAAGTGTACCACTGCATGTTAAATCTGCTCTGGTAAGAAACAACGAACGAAGAATGATATCTTTGAGGCAAAGAAACACTCCTTGGCTCCAAACACCTGCTACGGACGTTCGCTCCAAGGCATCCAAGGCAGCACGGTCTAGCGAAAACATCAAAACGAAACATCACGCAAGAAATGAAAATCTTGTTGGAAATCGAAACAAGCGAAACAAGCGAAATCAAATGGCTAATCAAACATCAGGTTAGAACACCGCAGCGTGTCGCCGTCTTCAAATAGAAGTAAAAACACACCACGGCTGCAGCTTCACCATCCTGCAGAATTCGGACAGCCAAGTGATGCCAAGCTACATCTGGTGACTGAGCCGAGCAGTTGCCCATCCGTGAACAGCATGGCACGCCTCGAAAAAAGCTGTGACACTTCTATCGATTGCCACTTCTCCACAAGGCTTTCCCTGGATAAAAAAGGAACAGAAAATTACCAAAACTGTTTTTTGTCTGGCACCTGGTCATATTCCGCGTGCTCGATGCCAAAGGACCAACTAAAAGCCTCCTGGCAGGCACAAGCTTTTCCACAAACATACCCCCGTGAGATCATCAGTGGATAGTTTCCGACGGCCAAGTACCTTTTCAACTTATCAAATCAACTTTCAATCTTAGGTCCCTGCTGTGCAATCCATAAGCCTTCGCTGATGTTGCTGATATCCTGTGCCAGAGCAGTGACGGCTAGGGTTGCAATGCAGTCACTCCAGAATTGTCATGAAACTGTTACACTACATTGCACAACACAAGTGCCTTATGCAACTAACTACTACGCTGGACCTGCCCATCTAATCGCTTCAAACACTTCATCGCACATCCCTTGATGTTGTCCCTGCCTGTGGCACAGGGTCACTGCCATCCACTGGACCTTCACTAGGCATCTTTTTGCATGTCGAAAAGACCTTTGCTTAGACACGACGTGTAGAAGTGGTGGTCATTACGCTCCACGAATGTCAAACTCCCGGAATGCGGTCTCCTTGGCCTATCTTGTTTGCCGCAAGCCACATACAGTAATTACTAGTTGTTGTTCTTCCATTCTTGCGCAAAACAAGGCCATGAGAAATCGTGGAGAATACACACGTCAACTGCCAGATTGCAGCCTCTGCAGCCTGCCTTTTTGCCTCTGATGTTTCACTGGTCACTACCTTTGGTGAAATTTGCCGCCTTTGGTGACCGAAAAGACCGAGGAAGACTGGGCGCCGGACGAATGGAGTGATTGCTCCTTGTGTGGAGTGCATCAACAGCCGCTTGCAGCTGAGCCTTGGAGAGCACAGCGCAAGTGATTGGAATCAAAGTTCTGGGATCATGGCACATTGAAGCACTTCGCATGTTCTCCCAATAGGTTGGAGGCCATCGGTTGGAGGCCATCACTTATTAGGTTGGAGGCCATTGCTTGTAACATGTTTGTCCTGGTTCACCAACACTTTTGTGAAAACCCAGCCCCGCAACGCTCCATCTTCTACCCGCTACTGTATCTACAGGCCGCGCATCCTCTTAAGCGAGATTGGTGAAAAATTGTCTACATCCACTGCCTAGTATGGCATCCTGTCAATGAAAGAGAAGACTTAAATAGCTTCTGGCACAACTAACAATGCTGCCTCGATTCTTGAAGCATACAGCATGGTATACATAACCATGTTTAAGCAGCAATAAGGACTGAAAGCATCTGCTGTCGGATCAGAGAGACCATACAAAACCATGTGCAATGTTTATGTGTCTATGCCTGCTGCAACCGAGTTGCTGTGTGTTTTTTTCTTTTTAGCCCGTGGCCCCGCCTCCTTACTTAATCAAGTAAGCACCCACTCAATTAAGGGCTAAGAACCTTTCGTGGTCAACATGATTCCCATGATCTCTCTCTCTCTCTCTCTGTCCCACAATATGTCCCCACTACAGGCCTTCTCTGCAAATGAACCGTTGATGAAGTCTGCACGCGCGAAGCTATGGAAGGAGATCAGGTGAATCCTTCACAGGGACGAACAAGGCTGATCCAACAAGACATCAGCTTGTCGTCTCCATTGCATCTGTCCCAATCTGCATCATCCAACCTACCTCTGCCGCTGAAACTCACAAATCTGCCGTGAGAAGGTACCTGAACACGTGTAACCTTTGCACCATCTTGCACCCTAACACTTGCGACCTGCGGCTTACCGATCCTGTCCATACTCCGAAGCCCATGGAGGATTTGCCGCAGGGCAGACTGCAGCAAAGTGCTTTCAATCACTGTACTAGCGATGGCCTCCGACCTACTAGAGATGGCCTCTCCAACCCAACAGCGATGGCCTCTCCAACCTAATACCGATGGCCTCCAACCTCGAAGCGATGGCCTCTCCAACCTAATACCAATGGCCTCCGACCTCGAAGCAATGGCCTCCAACCTACTAGCGATGGCCTCCAACCTAATAGCATTGGCCTC